CCCCCCCAAAAAAAAAAAAAAAAAACAGTCACAGATAGTGTGATATGAAAGTGTGATCAGCTTTGCTTACTCATTTTATCTTTGTGAAGTTATTGCCGATCTTTCTTATGCCATGACCATGCCAGTGTTATTTTAGTATAAATGTTATGCAGTTTTATTTATTTTGTTTGTGTTTTTGTCATTTTTGTTTTATTAAATGTCTATATAGTTTTTTTTTTTTTTTTTGGTTCATCTAAATGAAAATGAGAAATGCTGCCTTGGCAACTAGCTGAAATAAAAGTTTTATTTTATTATTATATTTTATTTCCGTTAATATTTATTTTAATGTCAATAGATAGATAGATAGATTGATTGGATCTTTGAGAGTTAAACCTGTAACTTTCCCTTTCACCTCTGTTATCTTATTTTAGCCTTTAGAAAATTTCCATGCCAACGGCTGGAATTTGTTCTACACTGTCGAATCAAAGGAACCGAAAAATACTTTTTGTGTTACACAAGAAAGCCACTGCTTTTTCAGTATCACCGAGAAGGTTGAAAAGGTTTTCCTGAGAGCCACTAACGCAGTGTCAAGCTCAGATCATACCGAAGTACCGGTGTATCGAAACAAAGGTACTTGATTGCTGGAAGTGTGATATATCAGACAGAGGCTCTGTTCACAGTGTATTACCAATGAAATGCTGATGTTTGATGACTTCTTATTGTGTTGTTTTAGGGCTGGGCTCTGTCTCTAATTTCAGTGTTCATCCCCAGTCAGAGATGTCTGTGCTGATCGCGTGGGGGGGAACACCAGCGTCCCTCAATGTCACAGGATATGTGCTTGAGTGGAGATCTCTGTGTGAGACGCCGTCACCTCCCCTGTCCTTCACTCTGATGGACAAAAACATCTCCAGTACCATAATAACAGGTGTTTATTATTGATAATAATTGATAATAACTGAGCAGCAAATCAACATACTAGAATGATTTCTGAAGAATCATGTGACAGTGAAGACTGGAATTAAGAAGAAAAACAACTGTCAAATTGGATCTTTGGGGCATAATGAGTGAAGTTCAGTTTCTCCTGATCTCTTATGGTTTACACTACAATAATGATTTGGAACATATTTTGACACGAGAAAAATGTTTTCTAAGTCGTTTAGTACTTTAAAAGCCACTCAAATGACTTTAAAGTCATCTGGTACTTAACGTTTTATATTCTTATGTGTTGTTCACAAAGTGCATGCAGATCTAATTATGGCTGTTTTATTTCAAATTTCAGGGTTAAAGCCTTACAAACCCTATGAGATGTCTATTTATCCCAAATATGATAAAGGGATTGGAATTCCACACACTTTAGTGGCATACAGCAGTCAGAAAGGTGCGTAGTGCTTGAAAATCAGCAGTGGATATCTGAGGGCTTGATGTAAATCAAGCAAAGCTGGATAATGATACAATACTTCCATCTAGTGGGCTCAGACTTACATTTTCATGTATTGTTGCAGCACCCTCTGTGGCCCCAGTGTTGAATTTTATGGAAATCAGACATTCGTATGTCAAACTACACTGGAATGAAATCCCCCTTGAACAGAGAAATGGGATCATTCAAGGATATACCGTTTACTTTTGGAATGAATTGAACAATATCAAAGGTATTTAAGCATTTAAAGTTGATAACAGATTTTTGAATGGAAGATTTCAAATGTTTTTTTTATTACTATTGTTATAATTAACCATAATGTTTCTATTCTGTCTCAAGTTATAAAGACTGAGGAGACCAGCATTGTGGTGAGAGATCTTCAGCCACATACCAAATATGAAGCCCTTTTGACGGTTCATACGAGGGGCGGAAGTTTAAACGGTTCAGTTGTGGCCCTGGCAACTGGACATATGGGTGAATATTTATTTTTATATTATCATACTGATCATACATATATATACACATACATACATACATACATACATACATATATATTGTTATAATTAACCATAATGTTTCTATTCTGTCTCAAGTTATAAAGACTGAGGAGACCAGCATTGTGGTGAGAGATCTTCAGCCACATACCAAATATGAAGCCCTTTTGACGGTTCATACGAGGGGCGGAAGTTTAAACGGTTCAGTTGTGGCCCTGGCAACTGGACATATGGGTGAATATTTATTTTTATATTATCATACTGATCATACATATATATACACATACATACATACATATACATACATATATATATATATATATATGTATATGTGTGTGTGTGTGTGTGTGTGTGTGTGTGTGTGTGTGAGTATTCTTTTATAAAATACATATCATCACTGCTTTACTCTGTTTTCCATCAAATTAATGCAGCTGTCACGTGTATGTTCCTGTTTGTCCTTATTTGGTTATCTTCCTGTTCCTGCTCCCTGATTGTTTCTAATTTGATTCCAGGTGTGTCTCTTCTTCCCCTGATCAAGTTGTGTATTTAAAGTGTTTCCAGTTTTTTGTCTGGTATTAAACGTCCATCGGTTTCTGTACTACGTGTGAGTCAATAAATCCTGTTTTCTATGTTCTCCGATGTCTCCTCGCTCCTTCATCTCCTCGTTCCTACACAGTAGCAGCAGACCGTGACAGAATACCAAACCCAAACAAAATAGTAAGCGGCGCCCCTTCTCCCCATTTTGTTTTCGTTTGTTGAAAGTTTTTTGTTTTCCCAGTTTCTCCCCGCGGCTCTGGAAGTTGCCACTCGGTTCGCCACTCTAGCTTGCCTGGATCTCCCGTTTGTGCAGTATGCGTGGGAGTTCTGCAGGATCACCGTGAGTATGGTGTTAGAAGACGCCATGCTCAACTTGCTGTTCTGGATCGAGGGTAAATACCATCACCCCGTGAACCTCCCAGACACCACTGGACTAAGCTTGAGGGAAGGGATCCTCCGGTGTCTGGAGAGCATCCGGCCCCGATCCAGAACCAGCTTGCCGTCAAGCCCACCGGCCGCCGCTGACTCCGCGCTCTTGGACATGGCGCTACCTCCAGAGTTCTCGGCTCCTATCCTCACCCCAGAATCTGCTCCAGAAAGTTCTCTTTCGTCTCCGCCTGTCCCGTCCAGCTCTCCATCGTCCCCTGAGTCTCCTTCGTCTCTGCTGGTCCCGTCCAGCCCTCCTTCGTCTCCTGATTCCCCCGAGTTAGCCAGCCCTGCACCTCCAGAGCGCCCTCCAGAGTCAGCTCCTCCAGAGCGCCCTCAAGTGCCCGCTCCTCCATGGCAACCTGAACTGCCTGCTCCGCCATGGCCCCCTGAGCTACCAGCTCCGCCATGGCAACCTGAGCTGC